GTGGAGAGATGGAGCAGCTGGAGACTTTAGATCCAGAGAGGGAAAGCGACAGTGTGCTGAAGACCTGGGGGGCACGGGGGAAGGATTACATGGAGGGGATTGTAACCATGGCAATGAGACATATACGATAGAATGAATGTAAAACTAATGTTCTCCCATGTAAACTATCACATAATTCACAATAAAACATTTAAGAAAAAAAAAAAGAAAGTACTCTGCCTCATCTTTCTCCACAGGGCAGCTGGTGGGTTCAAACCACCAGCTTTTCAGTTAGTAACCCAACACTTAATCCACTGTGCCACCAGGCCTCCGTAATCATAGGATAATAAGGTGATAAATATAATTGTAAATTGCTTGAATGTAATAGTCCTTAGATTATATTAATACTAACAACTAAATTGTTTGTAAAATCTTTCAACATTATTAGTTACAACATTATTTGTTAGTTGTTGTTGTTGTTAAGTGCCGTGGAGTCGGTTCCGACTCATAGCGACCCTGCACAGGGTTTCTGAGGCTGCAAATCTTTACGGGAGCAGAAAACCTCATCTTTCTCCTGCGGAACAGCTGGTAGTTTCGAACTGCTGGACTTGGGGTTAGCAGTCCGATTCGTAACCACTACGCTACCAGAGCTCCTTTATTTGTTAGTAACTGAGCAGAAACCTTTTTTTGTTGTTTTTCTCTTTTTCCTTTAACTACTGCTTCATTCTCAAAAAAGATATCAGCAAGGTCAGTGGTGGTTCAAACTCACCAGCTGCTCCTTGGGAACCTATATAGGGTCATTATTAGTCAGAATGTGGTGCTAGAGGATAAGTACTCAAACTCAAGGTCAGTTTGAACCGCAAGATCGATGGTTCAAACTCACCAGCCACTCCTCATCAACCCTGCATAAGGTCTCTATGAGTCAGAACTGACTTGAAGGCACTTAACAACATGAGTCAGAACAAACTCAGTGGCACTTAACAACAACAACACGTTCACAAATACGACTTCCACAATATTGTCAGATGTCAGGTGGATCTTGGCTGAAAGCAGACAATACCAAAAAGAAGTTTACTTGTGCTTTATTGACTATGCAAAGATATTCAGCTGTATGGATCATAACAAACCATGGAGAACATTGCAAGAATTGGGGTTTCAAAACATTTAACTGAACCTGTATGTAGACCAAGAGGCAGACATTTGAACAAAAAAGGAAAAAGGGGACAATGAATGGTTTAAAATCAGGAAAGGTGTGTGCCAGGGTTGTATCCTTTTACTATATTTATTAAGTCTTCATACTGAGCAAATAACTCAAGAAACTGGGTTATATGAAGAAGAATGTGGCATGAGGATTAAAGGAAAACTATTCAACAACCTGTCTGTATGCAGAGACACAATCTTGCATCCTAGGAGTGAAGAAGACTTGAAATGCTGATGAAGTTCAAAGACTATAGTCTTCAGTATGAATTCCATCTCAATGTAAAGAAAACAAAAATCCTCACGCTGGACCAATTAATAAACAGATAAAAGATTGAATAAAAAATAAAATGATAAACAGAGAGAAGATTGAAGTTGTCAAAGACTCCAGTTTCCTTGGATCCACAATCAATGCTTATGGAAGCAGCAATCAATTAATCAGGTGATTTCCAGGACATCAAGAAGGAAGGACATGAGTGGAACTTGGGATCCCTGCCTGAAGAAGAAGCTACAGCAGAGATGGTGGCAGAGGTGGTGACATGGAGCAGCTGTGGACTCTAGGCCCATGGACTGAATGAGGTTGTGTACCTACGGGCTGGAGATTGGCTTTTGGACATTTATGTGTGCGTTGAATATTTCTGATTTGTTCATTCGTGATCTATAAAGGGAAAATGGGGCCAGTACGTTTTCGGTTATACGTGTTTTAGTTACATTATGTCAGGTGCAAGTATGATGCAACCTAATATATGCATAGTTAGCTGTGTT